AAAAATTGATTGAAATAGAGAAACATTTTAAAATATTTGCAGCTGGTAAAAAAAAAGAAGTGGTAAAAAGGGAACAACACGATCAGATCAAATTTCTAAAACCACACCCAGGAAAACCTTACTGCCTGGTGGGCTTGCTAGAGGTGATAATTTTTCAATAGCATGTTTGTCGTCGCGCGTGACGTAAAGCTCGCTGCTTGCACGCGTTTTACAATCTGAATTCAGCCATGTAGTCATGACAACCACATTAATTTGCAAAGTTTTTGCGACCTTTTATTTGGCCCAAAATCATAATTTTCGGGATAACTAAAAATCTACAATGTCCCTAATTTTCCTCCTGGGGAGGTAACGTTTCTTTCACAAGGCGAACATTTTGCAAAAACTGGAAGTCTCTAGCTCTTTTACTTTCAAAGTTAGGCCCCGGCCAGTAAGGTTTCTTTGCGCAAACCATAGTTTGGAAATACTTACAATACACGTTGAGAGACACCGGGGTTTGTGAGGCAGGGGACTGCTCAAACTCTCCCGAAGTCACTACACAGGTATACACAGCGTCTTCTCCAGGATTTAACACGGTCAGGGTGGAGATCTGAGTGTCAGTGTTCAGTTCCCCTTCTACTGACCCTGCTACAGTTTCTAATCCCTTTATCCACGTGACAGTAGCTGTGGCTAATAGCCCTGTTATCTCGCAAGTCAGGGTGGTTCCTGTTCCCTTGTAGGCGTCTTTGTGTATCGGCTCTACCTCTGCAAATACGTAACTATTGATTATTCTTACTTTCTCAGAGTATCTGACCAACGTAAAATTTAAAAAACTTCAAAAACTTCAAAGTTAAAAAATCAGTTAATTAAAGGCAAACTGTGCAGAATGTTTTAAAACCCTCACCATAAACACTGAGCTTGACTAAGGAGTCCTGGTGTGGGGACTGGATATACTCCCCTGAAACAACCCTGCACACATAATCCTGATCACTTGTCACGTGACTGCCCTGCACCAGGAGGGTAGCAGTCTGTGAGTCTGCAGACAGCTGAGAGAGGGCACCACCTTCATTTACTGGCGTGTTGCCAAGCAGCCAGGTTACTGAGCTAACTGCAGTGGTTAGACCACTTATAATACACGAGATCTCTGTGTTGGTTCCAGATTTTACTTCAACATCTATAGCCGCAACATCTGGGGATAAACAGTGCAAAAATAGTTTCAAATACAGAACAATTGATGATCCGAAGGTGTTATTGTAATAGTCCGAATAAAATTATGCATTATACGATGGTAGATAAATTTACCATGGTAATACTGTCTTACCAAAAACGTTAAGGTTGAGGAATTGGGAATAGGGTTGGGAGTCTGGGTAGGCTGTGGAGCTGATGATGCACGTGTAGACTGTGTCTGTTTGTGGAGTTTGTACTGTTAACCTTGATACTTGTTGCTTGTTGCTAACAGTAGTTGTTTCTGTGCTGTCTGTTTGTTCACCTTCCTTCCAAGTTACAGTGACTCCATTAACAGAGGCTATGTTAGTTATAGTGCAGGTTATAGTTGCTGGACTACCAACCTTAACCTCTACTTCTTCTTTCAGAACACCTGCAAAATAGTATACTTCAGAACGGGTTTCAATTGCTAAAGTAGACATTCTTAAAGAAAACAATATTCCTTATTGAATGATGTAATATTGAAAATTAATTGTTTATTGTTCACAAAGGCATATAGGTTTAGTTTTTTTGAGTTAGCAAATTGTTACACTGTAGATTTCTTGGATTCGTTCAGCATTCAGAAAACATTAAATGTTCACAAAGGTACTTACTGTACACGAAAACATCAACAGATTTGGAGGCTGATTCACTGGTCTGTAAAGCCCCGGATTTCACCTCGCAAGTATAAGTTGTGTCAGTATCAGGAGAGGTTATCTTCAGAGTAGCTGTCTGCGAGGTAGACACTAACTCTCCACTATCAGCAGTGATCCCATCTCCATTAGTAACAGGGTTACCAGGGTTACCAGGGTTACCAGGGTTACCAGGGTTACCAGCAGAGCGCCAGGTTATTAAGACAGTCTGTGTGATGTCGGACACTACACACGACAGAGTAGTGCTTGTTCCTGCTCCTACTTCTTTACTGTGCACCGCAATATCTGGGAGGGTACGACAGGTTATAAAGTTGATGTTGTGCAGTTTTTATTAATAAGTTAGATACAGTGCAGCGAAGCCTTGAGCGAAAAAAGTATGGTATCCATTTCAATCACTAGCCTAATTGCAATTGTACCTGGGGCTCATGTATTTGACCAGTCACATTGTAATCATATGGTTGTTCAGGTAAAGTAAAGTAGAAGTATCTACTCGATACTAAATAAGTAAAGTTTCACTGATATTTACCGTAGACGTTAAGCAGTACTACCACAGACTTAGCTGCAGATTCAGTGTAACTTCTGGAAGTGACGGTGCAGGTATAGGTACTATCCTCAGTAACCGCACCAGAGGTTACAGTCAATATTCCGGTTTGACTGTTAGTTGTGGTATCGTATACTCCTTCATTTGGGAGGAAGTTACTTCCAGCTGTGAAGCCTGTCCAGGTGATGGATAGTTGCTCACTGATTTCAGTTACTTTGCACGTGATGGTGGTTTCTGTTCCGCGGAGGTTCTCTTTTCCTACAACCTCGATCGCTGGGGAGTAACTATGGTAACTAGTAATTAGTAATTAGTAATTAGTAATTAGTAATCGCTGAAAACAATTGCTTGATTAAAATTAAACGTTATTTATTTATATCATAACAGTTCTACAGATTAACGCATTAAAGTATTAACATATCATTATTGTGTGTATAATCCTGTTTAATAATGAATTATATATATTATAATTGGAAGAGGAATGTATATTTAAATGGAAATGTGAAAACAGTAGACTTACAATAGGTGTTGAGAGTTACAAGAGTAGAAGAAGAAGCAGAAGCAGAATACTGTCCTGAAGTAACCACACAAGTATACTCCTCATCTTGTTGTGGGTTGTTAACTGTTAAGGTAGAAGTCTGGGTATCCCCTTTTAAAGACACTTCATTAACCTCTGACAGGTTCTCAGACCTATTCCTCCAGGTTACAGTGGCTGTGGCTGAGAGTCCGGTTATTTTGCAGGTCAGGGTGGTTCCTGTTCCCTTGTACGCGTCTTTGCTCACAGTTTCTACATCTGAATACGTTAAATGAGCACCAGTTCGTATTTCATTATAATTACTTTATCTTGATGTAAACATGCGAAGTTGATAAAGATATATCACAGAATATTTGTAATCCTGCGCTAGACTCGTTGAATCAATTTTTTGCTTCGATGATCTTATCAACAAGTGATTGGACCACTCTACAGTTACTTTTTACTGCTTTTTTGTCAAGCCAAGGAATATGTTTTTAAAGTCAATCAAAAACATAGATTGAAAAACGTACCATAAACGTTTAGATTGACGTTGATATCCGAGTGGCTGGAATCGGGCAAAGATCCAGAAGTGACTCTGCAAGTGTAAGCAGTATCGTCGTTCACAAGAGTTCTGTCTACAGCAAGAGTTGATGTTTGTGTCCCTCCAGAATGGCTTCCTTCGGTAGGGATGAGCTTATCACCTGAAACTGGTCCTGTACTTGTTCGCCAGGTCACTGTTGCTGTATCTGTTATGCCAGTGATGATACAGGATAATGTTGTATCAGAGCCTTTCTTCACTTCTTTATTCACTGATTCAACCTCTGCAAAATATAACCGAGTTAACTTAACATTTCGACCAACCTATCTAATTATGCATCTAGTCAACTATTTGATAAAGCCTGAATTACATTCACATCAACTCACCGAACACCTCCACAGAAGCACTGACATCTGTTTCAGCAGACTCAGTAGTAGCAGACTTGACACTACATGTGTAGATATTGTCTTGTGTGGTGTGTTGAGAGTCTACTACTAGCGTTGCGTCCTGTTTCTCCCCGCTTACTGATCCTGAAGTGGGTAGTCATGTTGACCGCAAAAGTTGACCGTTTCGGAAAAGATGTCATAAAACGGATTGCAGTAAATGATATATTAACATTTATTTTTTGAATGCTGATTAAGTATTCTTACCCTGATTAACAGTAAATCCTCCTCCGGTGCTGATCTCGTCTCCATTACTCTTTAACCAAGTTACAGTGAGGGCTTCAGTCACTCCTGTTATTACACAGGTTAGAGTAGCGGAGGTCCCTGAACCTACTTCTCGTCCACCCATTGTAACATCTGAAAACAGAGAAATTAACAATTGTGTTGCACGTTTATAAAAATACTTATTTATGTATGATCATTGAAATTTCTGTTTTGGCGATTAATGCTGAAAACGTTACCATGTTTAAACTTCTTAATTAATATTGAAAACGTTACCATGTTTAAACTTCTTAATTAATATTGAAAACGTTACCATGTTTAAACTTCTTAATTAATATTGAAAACGTTACCATGTTTAAACTTCTTAATTAATATTGAAAACCTTACCATGTTTAAACTTCTCACCGTATAATTATTAAAGGTTT